GATCGCTCGAGGAATTACTGAAGTTCTTTGGCTAAGAAAACTCCTTAAAGATTTGGGATATCCGCCGAAGGGTAAATGTAGACTGATGTGCGATAATACCGCTGCTATTCCTATATCAGAGAATCCAGTACAACATGATCGTACCAAGCACATCGAGATTGATCGTCACTTTATCAAAGAGAAACTCGAGGCAGATATCATCAGTCTTCCATATGTCCGATCTGAAGATCAATTGACAGACATTCTCACAAAAGCAGTACCAGCTGGACTCTTTCAAGCAACATTAAGCAAGTTAAACATCCGAAACAGATGATTCAACTTGAGGGGGAGTGTTAGAAATGTCAAACAAAGGAATAGTGTCAAACAAAGGAATAATATTGATGACTAAGATAATATCCTTGATTGGAATCAAATTACCAATCAAAGATATTTTATTATCTTCCACTTACCTTCCTTGATTGTCTAGATTATTCACTTTGTAATATTTATACTCATCATTTGATGATGAATTGAATAAGATGAATATTATGCTGTGAATTCATTCTAATATTTCTAATATTCATTACAAGAGCTTTAGTATCTCATTATGATAACTGCAGGATCGGAAGTGGTTAAAGTACATACATTTGTTTGATTTTCAGGTTGCTGCACTCTATTATGTGGGGATGGCAGGTCACTTTGGCCTTGGTAACACCAATACCCTTGCCACCATTGATGTTGCCGGTGCTTTTGTGGTAGGTCACATCAATTGAGTTATGTTTTGATGGTGTTTCCCTTGGATCCATAATTTCATCTAATCAGACCTATATTGCATGTTGATTATTTGCAGGGCGTGTTGAATCATTCCACACTGCTTTCTGGTGTCTTAATGTTTGTCATCACATATGCATCCCCAATTTTATCTATGCTTAGTATGGTACTGTACATTGCTATGAAGAAAGACACTGCGGTGATAAAATATTCAGATGAACACGGTTTTAGACACTTGCTCAAGATGCTAATTGGTTTTCCTTGTCTGGTTCCTTTGGGTTTGAATTCCATTCTGCTGATTGCCTATACAATTGTATTGCTTCTAATGAGGAACCATTTGTTCGTCTGGAGTGTCTTTTCTCCCAAGTAAGCATTCCATGTCTCATCCCACCTACACTATGTTTGGTTCAAGGAATCTAAAAGGAAAAGAAAAGAAAATGGTTCTCTCATTTTCCTCACCAAAATAAGAGGAATTTGGTTAATTGGTTTTCCCTCATAGTACATTTTGCCTTCTCATTTTCTTTTCTAACCAAACAAGAAAAACTATTTTCCACTTTATTTTCTTCTCTTCCCTCTCAAATTATTTGAACCAAACATAGTGTTAATGATTGTCCATGGATTCAAAACCTCACCTGTCAATTTCTCGATCTTAGTAACTCTCCTTCCATCCCAATTTATGTTGCTGACTTTGACTGAGGATAGAGAGTAAGAAAGTTAAAACTGTGTGTTTGAGGTTTATAGAGGAAAGAAAAACAATACAAACCATATACACTATGTTTGGTTCACGGGTTTTGAAAGGAAAAGAAAAGAAAATGCTTCTCTCATAGAATTTGGTTTTCCCTCCTTTTAGTAATTATACCTTCTCATTTTCTTTTCCCTCCACTTTTCTTTTCCTCTCTAACCAAACATGAAAAAAATATTTTTTTTACTCATTTTTATTTCCCTTTCAAGTTCCTTGAATCAAACATAGTGATAAAGTTTTGTACAAATGGAAATGAGCAACATAAATTAGTAAATATTATACAGAGTAGAAGGAACACGAGAAAAGCTCCACAACTAGATAAGCAAGTTGTCCATTTTAGTTCTTGATTGTTAATGTTTTTCTACCACTGTAAATAACAAATTGTTGTGGTTTTTTGTCTAAACTAAGTTTCTTGGCACGGTATAGTGTACATCCAAGTGATCCAACACACATTTTTTTCTGTAAACGTGTGTAGGTTTTTGTTTTTGTTTTTTAATTCTGCTCATTTTCCTTCTATCCAATGCTCATTTGAATAAAATGGTTGCTCATATTCATTTTAAAGAATGCTCATTTGCACATGTAGGATGTGTGATAATTATGGTACATCTGTTTGCTTGTTTTACACATACCCACTCAACTCTCTTGTACTATCTCTGTTTGCTTCGCCTTAATAAGAAGTCCTTCACTGATATATGCTTCCCCATTTCAGGTACTTATATGTTTGTGCTACCACGGCTTGCGTGTATATTGGTGTAACCATTGTGGCATTGACAGTGTCGTACGTATCATTGGTCTGTGCATTTCGTTGCGCAAAAATGCAAGGATCTTTTAAGACCAGAGAATTGAAGTAGGATTGAAATTGAGACCAACCTCCTTGCACTTTGGTTGGTTTGAGCTCTCAGCTTCGCAATGTGTTTCGCTCAAACTCCGACACGATGTTTGGTTCAAGGAATTTGTAAGGGAAAAGAAAACTAAATGAGAGGGAAAATAGCTTTCTTGTTTGGTTAGAGAGGAAACGAAAAGAAAAGTGGAAGAAAAAGAAAATGAATTAAAAAGAAGGAAAACAATTTTCCTTTCATGTTCTTGATTGAGGAAAAGGAAAACATTCCTTTCATATAAATTGATTTATAATCTTAGGTTGATTGATTTATTATTTTGACCAAATATGGTTAATTAGTTTCTAATAATAATAATTATAATAATCAAGGATATATGATGATGGATGATAAGGTCGAAGACAAATATTGATGATTATAGCAGCAACATGTATATATGGCTACTAAACTAAGGCTGCAGCTGTTGGGCTTGATGATTCTTCATGTGGGCTAAGAATGCTTGGGCTTCATGAACGCTTATGCAGCAATGTTTGCAATGGCCCGCAAATGGGGCGCAGCAGCCCAGTTTGCAGCTCTTCTGGACGCCACCGCTCCAGCCCACGGTACCATGGCTCCCTTTGTATTGCCAGCTAACCCCTTTACTGATGGTCGCGTGGTTGCCGTCCCCATTCACCCCCCACGTGAACCCGTGGCTCACTGCTGGCTTGCTCTCGCCTATGCCTGCCGCTCCTGCCGCATCTGTTCCCGCTGCACACAAAAAATGATGTGAACACTCAGTTTAGAATATAAAAAAGTTTTTCTAGGCTCTAACTACAAACTTGAGCTTTTTGGTTGAGTTGGTTTCTTGGCATGACATCGGAATTTTGTTGACTAAGAGGTCACGTGTTCGAAATTCAAAGACTCGAAATAAACTACATCTATACGTGAAGGGGCGTGTTAGAATACAAAAAAAAAAAATCTTTTCTAGGTCAGAACTGCAGGCTAGAGTTTTTGGTTGATCTGGTTACTTGACACTCGGGACACCCAACAAAGAAAGCGAGAATATAAATAAGAAAAAAAAAATTGGAAGAATCAAAAAAAGAAAATTAAAAAAGGAAAAGGTTAAGAAATTTCACTTTTTGGAGTTTGAGCCCTAATAAGAGCTGGACAAGCACACAGAAGAGCCATACAAAAGAGAGCTTGGAGAAGCAAAGCCATGTTGGGCTTCATCATCATATATCCACTTGAAGTGAAATTCAAAGGTACAAAGATGATGATATATTGCTAAGTATAGATGTTAGTGCTTTATTAGCTTCAATTTATAGTTGAAGAGGTGAAGAAGAAATTGGCTTAGACTCAAAAATTAATACCCAATAAATGTAATCCAAAAGGTTTATACAAATGTCAACTAAGAGAGTGTAAATATTGGTTGCAGATGGCAACACTTAAATGTTGATGATGTAATTGTGTTACGTAAAACTTGTAACGATGGTGGTAAGAGGGTAGGTAAAATTAAGGTGTCCATCTTATTTTTAAGGTATTTTTTTAAAGATATATTCCCTCCTTCCTAATTAAAAGTTTTAATTTGATTTTACCAAATTTAATAAAACTGCTGAAAAGGAAAAGGTAGGAGAGATGTTTTTAGCAACTTATTCGTTTAAGAAGAAAAGAAGTGAAAAATTAATTTTAGGACAGATCAAACAAGAAAGTGATAAAGTTTTTTTTTTGGAAAGTGATGTGCAAATTATTAGATCCGGCTCACTATTCTTGATCAAATTTGGAATAGTGAGTTAAATCGTTTAAACTAATTTTAAAATATAGTGTAATGAATGACCGAAAAGTTGTATGTGAAAACACTCGTAGCTAGATCTGATCAAAGTGCGGGTCGGGCCGGGCCGGGCCGAGACACTACTTTACGAAAATTTTATAGGCCCGAGCCTGACCCGGCCCGTATAACGGGCCTAACAATTGAAGCCCAAGCCTGGCCCGCATGGTTACCCGCAGGCTTCGGGCCGGCCTGGCTCGGCCGACAAAAACTTCTAAATAATTTAAAAATAATTTTTTTTTAAAAAAAGTAACAAGTTAATATATTACATATTTGATATAAAAACTATTATGAGTAAATGAAAGAAAAATTGATATATAAATATATTTTGTTTGATATTGCTACTATGTATGGAGTACAAAATATTATCTATTGGAATGTCATAATCAATGTGTGATACGTTGCAAACAATACGGAGTAGTAAAGATGCATTCATTTTATTATAAATATTTATAGTTTATTTTTTCTCTCCATAGAAGTATGTATGTGTGTTTATAATAATTTAAAATAGGTTTGTTCTTTATTATTATTATTATTATTATTATTATTATTATTAATGTTGTTATTGTTATTTTATTATAATTATATTAAATAAAAATATTTAATTTATTCGGGTCGGGCCGGCCCGTGGGCTTGAGCATAAACTCGAGCCCGGACCTAAAATATTCGGGCCGCCATTTATAAGGCACAAGCCCGGCCCGTACCCTAAAATGTCAAACCCAAGCCCACTATTTTGCGGGCGGGCCGGATACCCGGGCCCGTGATCGGGTCTACTCGTAGCTTTATTGTTATTAATCTGAGAGGATATCAGCAAGAGAGTATGTGACAATGCCGATTAGCGTAGTAATTTCACATTAAGTATTGTGGATATGAAGTTTTTAACAATTTGTAATATTGTTATAATAGTTATTATGGACATTGTATCCTAGACTCTAGTATCGTGGGATCCAACTGAGTTCTTGTTATTGTAATAATGTTATAGTAGTAATTATACTTTAAAAGAAGTGCGGATTATACTAAAACTCAAACATAATTCCATCTAGGGGTGTTCATCGGGAAAAAATGAGGACCGAAGACTGGACCAGTGGGGGGTTTACCAGGGGGTTAGGGGGGTAGAAATCATCAATTTTATGAACGGAGCTCCGTAAGAGGGCAGTGGCTTCCGTGGCCACTGGAATCCAGTGGCCATGGAACCGGGCTATATGTGTCAACTTATATTACTCCCTTCGTCCAGTATTTGTCCACTTTTGACTTTTTTGATCAAATTGGTAAACTTTGATTTGAAATTAATAAAAAATGATATTAGATTTTGATACAAAACTAGTTTTATTAAATTTATTATATCACATATTTTTTCAAATATTATTTTATGTAATCAATATACAATATATATTTTATTTAATTATAGGTCAAAAATTGAAAACGGTTTACCGAAAAAAGTCGAAATTGGATAAATACTCGGGAAGGAGGTAATATTAATTAGCCATCATTAATTATTACCAGTCCTGCATGAATCTTTATAGCTCATTCTAGTTGAGGAAATGGGAAGTAGTATATATGATGTGTCTCCACTTTCAGTAATGAAATTTAGGTAAACTAACAAATGAAATTTTAAAATATTGCTAAATTTTGATAAATGTTACCCTTTTGGTCACATAAAAATTGCTTGTGTTTGGCTTTTACTGAATTTAAAAGTAAGTATTTCAAAATATAAAAGTGTGGTCGAGATCTCTTAAAAAAGAAAAGAATATAATGTTTAAGCTACATATTTTAAAAAAAAAATTAGAGGGGTGCAAGGGGTTGGCTTGGTCAGGGGTTTAGGAAGAGTTAGGGAAGGTAGGAACTATCAATTTTGCGAACGAAACACTGGAGGTGCTCCAAAAAGTCAATGGCCACGGAATTGCAAAAAAAAAATTCTTTTGCTATAGGGAGTAAATAATTAAACCTTATTGAATTTAAAATGTTGTATGTTTTCTAAAATGATTCTTTTTACGGTGAAATGAGAAATTAGGATGAAATACAAGCTAAGGAAAAAAAGAACCAAAGTTGTGACTTCTCTCTCAACCATTATTATGGCAAAAAACGTAACGCATTGGATGGAGGTGAACTGTTGTCCCACTTCACTTGTTTATGGATTGGCATGGCATTCACATTAAGTGTTCGAAATTTATTTTTTCTACTTATTACTTATTCTTATTAAAATCAGATTAGATGTAATCAGATCAGGTCTAATCAAATCAAATCTAATTCAGATGAGACCGGATCAAATTCAATAATATCAAATCAGGGAAAAAATATTTAAAAAAAATACTAATATTTTTTCAATGATTAAATAATGATTACTATTCGATTAAATCACATTACTTTATTTGAAGCTACATGTACCTAAATCTTAATTAATATTATAATTTTAAATAGGATTGTTATTATTATTACTATTATTATTATTTTCAACTACACATGCACCATTATTACTAGTAATTGCTTAGCGTGTGGTCAGATGCATGGAAGCAATGTTAGAGCTTAAAAAGTTGTATTTTTCATACTTTAAAAGAGCTGTTTTAAATAAAAGAATTATACAAAACTTGATTTTTAAAAGCATAAATACTTTTATACTTAAAATTAAAAGACACATTTAACTTAAAAATGATATAATATACACAATGGTGGGTTTATGACAAAATTGGTTGAGGTGAAAGTATGTGATGTGTAATTTGTAACATGCAATATATTATTATGTAATATGCAAAAAGAATGTAATATTTCTGTAGAAAAATATTCATATTTTCTCATATTTGGTTATTTTAATACCGAGTAATAATACACTCTCTTAACTATATAAAGAAAAAAAATGATTGTTCAGTTTTCACTAGGGGTACACGATCTGTGATATTATTTATCGGAACCTATCACGAATCGCTCTTAATTTAAAAGGTTCGGTATCGGTACGAGATGAACCCTAAAACCATTTGGTACCATTTCGTTTTGAAACGAAACGGTATAATACCATACTCATGTTACGTTCAAACCGTGCCAAAATGTTTCTTACTACATGTGTTTGTTTCATTCAAAAAAAAAAATGTTTCTTTGGACGTGTAATTTTTAATAGATTATTAGATTTGATTCATCCAAAGCATGAACATGTTTGGATGGGTACGTGTTACGTGTAGAGCAATAACAATTTCATACATGGAGCAAGAAAAGCTTCTTTTTTAAAAAAAAAAAAAAGGGGGAATGTTATAGACCAGGAGATGGATGCATAGATGTCTGGACAGAAAAAGAAAAGGCCGGCTGGGTTTGGACGGAAAAATAAAAGAGAGAAGGGGGTGGGGTGTGGATGTGGAATGGAGGGGTGGAATCTATAGATTTATGTTTGAAAATTTTTCAATTTGAATAGCTAACAGGAGTACCAATGTAGATTGGTTTTAAATAAAATGTTTGTTCGGATAATTTGTTCTTCCATCCGCAAAAAATTCATGATTTTCTTTTCAAATCAACTTCTTACCTAATTCATTTTTAGAATTGAAGAAAGAGATTGGGCCACCCAATTCATACTTCATTATTCATTACTGAGTACTACCCAATGATATGGACGAGTGGGCCTTCATTTTCGCCTTTGTTTGGAAGCTTAGGTTTAAGAGTCTCTCGTATGGTCCATGGCATATCTAAAAAGGAACAAATAAATTAATTTTTTTAATGTCAATGTTTAGGTCTGAAAATATGTTATTATGATACCATATACTCCATTCACAAAAAATTTCCGCCTTAATTTTTTTTACGCACCCCATAAAACACGTCTATTCTACCTAAAATGTTTGATTTACAATCTATTACGTCATTTATTGCAGATAAAAGTTGTTTTAAAAATATTTTAGACATTTTAGGTGGGGTAGAAGTGTTTTATGAGATGCGTAAAAAGTTATGGCGGATAAGTTTTGTGAAACGGAGGGAGTATATAAATGTATAGCCAACTTGTTCAAGAGAAATAATTTCAAGCAAAAACTGATCGGACGAATATATTGGTGAAACAAAAATAATTGTGAAACATTCATATGTTTGAACAAAACATTCAAATGTTTGTAGCTATTTACATGCAAATTGTTGCTTCTGCAGTTTTGCGTGATCTGTCGCATCTATTCAGAAAAACTCGAATGTTACACGCCTTTTCACAACGGGCACTGGAACTTGCACTAAAATAAGGGTATTTCACAAGTGGCATGTACCCCTCAGGCTGTTCACCAGGTTGCCTTTTATGTTTTTCGTAATCGACTCTTGTTCTAGTCCAATCTGTGGGGAATATGCCAAAACAGAAGAGACCACAATGCATACATCTATGTAGTAGTGGAATCTTAGAAACGAAAAACTAGGGCCATGGACTGATGGCATTGACTCATTGTGTTGCCCGGAGTGTTGTCCTAAAGGAGAAGCTCGTAATATTACTTCAACGCTTGAAAAACGCAATACCCCGACTGCAATTAGTTTTGATAGCCTCCTCTAAACTTTGCATGCGGTCAAAATCAACTTTGAAAGTGACCATGGCTGCACCAGCTTTCCCTGTATCATAGTCTTGTTTAATGTCCTCAACTTTAAAAGTTTGTAGCTGAAAGTCACCATGGAGAAAGGGTAGATTAATAGCATGAGCACTACAAAAGTAAACAAGTTCACACACAACAGTCCATTATAGATACAAGTAACAAAGATCTATAAATCACTTTAAAATGTTCAGCCTAAACTCAGGTATATGAATCATATAACACAATAGCAACAATGAAGTTTATCGACCATTCATCTTATAGATTTTTCTATGCATATCTGAAATTCATGGGCACATGTAAGCTGTTACACCTATATATAATTTTTCTGAAAAAGACCTCATTACTTTGTAAAAGAATGTGCTAACAAATCCATAGGGCATATATCTCAAGTGGAAAATGATGGGGCCTAATTTTCTTCCTTTGAGTTTCCAGAAGAAGGCGGGTCCCCCCCCCCGGTTGAAAACAAAAGGTACATTATTTACAACCCAGCCATGACATCAAGTCAGGACATAGGGGCAAAGAGGGTGGGGTATACAATTCTTGAGAATGAGATGACATATAGCAGAATGGATTAGCACTTTCAATCGCTTCTGGAACTTGCCTGATGGTACAGAGCCCCTAAAAGATCAAAAGGAACCTCTATGCCCATAGGAACCTGCAAAATGTAGATTATTTCCATCAACAATAGTACTGAAGTGAACGAGATTTAAAGTAGTTCTTTGTGAAACATATTACACATTCATAATTTACCTGGACTCTAATAAACATGTGATACATGCCCTCTGATTAGGACCTATCACATTACACATGGCACCACTGCCCCATCAGCTTCAGCAACCCAACCCGTGAATGCAGGCATCTTACACTAACAGCAATCATATTTTAACTAGAAGTGTTGCCAATTTTTAATTCATCTGTTAATAAGCATTATTCTCTGATTTATTCCCATCTTCGTAGATTGTAGGCTACTTGTGAGCTTGTCAGGTGTTTTCTCATGGCTTTTATACTCTTCTTCTTGGAGTTCTCTATTTTTTTTATCCTTCTTTTTCAAACATTTTTTTTCTACATAGCAAACTCGCAGCAAGTCATCGGTTCTTTTATTATTTTTTCTTCTTCGTTTTTTGTCTATGACTTTCATTGTTCTTCGGACATTTGGTTTTAAAATTTGTCAATGGCTTATGGTACTATGTGTGACTTTGAGTCTTGATTGCTTTCTAAAATTTTCTCTTATCTTTTAAAATTTTATGTGTATTATTACTAATTTAGAGATGCTATGCTACTTGTTCTTCATTTGCGCCTGCCTTGCATTCGTAATGAGTGTGCATCAATTGTGCATCGCACCTTACACAACTTTGACACTTTCGGTGGGTGTGACCTGCTGAGCCACCAAAAGACTCTAAACCCAACCAGACTAGCACTCGTTGACTCTAAGCCGTTGACTTTGGATTATTGTTCTATGCCAACTTGGCTGCTGCCTTTTTCCACCTCGATCACCTGCTCATAAACAGTATTGAAATCCAGTCAGGGAACAGTCGCCATGCATTCGCACAGGTCCGATCTGAGTCCCTCAATGAATAGCTTGCAGCAATGCTCCAAAGAACTTACCAAGTCACTTGTGTACTCCGCCAAAGAACTTGCTCTGATACCACTTGTATGCAGTATCTCGATGTTCCTTATTTGAAGGCAAGAGAGTTTCTACCCCGCAAACTATTCTATGTAATCTCTTATCTGATATATAGGCACTAATCACAGTTAGATTTTAATTAGAAAAATCTTCAATTTTTAATTCATCAACTATTAATCTATTATTAAGCATAGTTTTCTGCGCCATTTCATGGTTCCTAGCTTGTGGGCAGTATCTTTGCGTTCTTAATTTGTAGCATGTGAGCTTCTATTCTTCAACTATCCAATGTAATCTCTTATCCTATTCCTATATACAGGCGAATATCAACAAAGAAAATCACATCTGCGAGAAATGATTGTCCACTCCATAGAGAGTACTTTCTTCTATATTGTGTTTATCATAAAGTTATCCAAAGAAGGGTGAAACGAGTAAAATAACCAAGTAATCAATACCTTAGATTTCACAAGCCGTGTAGGAGCATTTCTCAAGCATTCCATGGCAACCCCCCCATAAGCTCTTACTAATCCCCCAGTTCCAAGTTTAATTCCTCCAAAATATCTGAAATTGAAGAGGGTAAAATAGTGCTTGCCACTAGGAATAAATGATGTATCCATCATCCAAGTGAAGTTCCCAATTCTCATCAATAGTGAGTGTATGACATTCATGTTAGGTAACAAAGCAATGTATTACCTGGTTACAACAACAATGACCCTGTCTAATCCTGAAGAAAGAATTGCAGAATATATTGGTTTGCCAGCTGTACTAGATGGTTCACCATCATCATTACATCGGTATTGATCTCCAACCTATATTGCAAACTTCATATATTCAAGAATATTGATCCAGTTTTTTCATCTTAAGGCTAATTATTGAGTACTTAATAGTTAGTAATTCATTGTGCAAAAGTACCCAAATTGTACTAGGTATTCATTTTCAAATACTTTACAGTTCAGTCACAATAGACACTTAATTTCTGTTGATACCACAACTGAATAACCAGAAGCCACCTCGGGGGAGGGGGGTGAAGCAAGTTACTTGAATATGTGCATAGATGTCCAGTAAAAAATTATGAACGAAAATAGAAAAAGCATGGACACGAATCATACAAACCAACAGTAAATATTTAGAAACTAAATTTTATTTGCCATTGCACTTTTATTTGTTGAAGATTATACTCTTCTTGCAATCACTTTATGTCCTCGAACAAGATCCTGGCTTTATATTATTTGTTAACATAAAAAAATACTCAGAAATTAATTAGCACAAATATTCTAACAGTTATATGACCATTGATAGAGTCTTGGCTACACCCAAGTAAAAAATAAAAATCAAAATCAAAATAAAAATAAAAGCATTCAATGCAGCACAAGACTGAAAATAGGGGTAAAAGAGCATTACCTTGTAAGCCCAACAATTATGTGTTGCACGAGGATCGCTTACCTACGCATAAGCCACTTAAAATTACACTAACACAATGCTTGGTTTAAGGAACTCGAACACTATGTTTGGTTTAAGGAATTTGGAAGGAAAAGAAAAGAAAACGGTTTTCCCTCAGTTTCCTCGCCAAAATGGAATGAATTCCATACTCTTAGTACATTTTGCCTTCCCATTTTCTTTTTCTTCCACTTTCCTTTTCTTTTCCTCTCTAACCAAACAAGAAAAACATTTTCCTTCTCATTTTCTTTTCCTTTCTCACCCAAAATGAGAAAGGAAAAGAATTTTTATGTTTTTGGTTAGAGAGGAAAAGAAAAGAAAATGTGAACACAAAATGTACTAAGAGAAGAAAACCAAATTCCTCCCGGTTTGGCGAAGAAAATGAGAAAAAGCTTTTCTTTTTCTCCCAAATTTGTGGAACCAAACATAGTGTAAATATAATTCTCAATTTGTGAGGACAAATTATGTTTACAGAATAATGAATAGAGAGATGCGATTAAAGAAATGACCTCCGAAAGGAAGGATTCGGCCTGGAGTTGGTCGGAGACATGGCCGGCGATGGCGATGAACTTGCTCCTCTTGATCTCCTTTTCGCAAGTGTATCTGCCTTCTTCGATTGTGCTGAAAGCCCCTTGGGTGTTGGGGTCGGAGCTGCTGCTGCTGCTAGCGGTGACCATTGATCTCTTGGCGATTGGGAAGAATACTATGGGTGTCGGGAAAATGGGGCGGCGGAAGCGGTGGCGGGTCAGCCCGGGAAGGATTAAGGAGATAATCGATGCCGCTTTACAGTCCGCCACATGCATTATTCTGTCATTGGTTTGTTCTTCTCTTTCTTTTTCTTTTACACAACAAAAAGAAAAGATAAGCCAAGTAGGCAAGTAGGGATTACAACCGGGTTCGGTTGGGTTTTAGTAAATTAAAACTCAACCCCATTTAGGTTGGGTTCGGGTTTGATTTTTATGGATTGATTTTGGATATTTATTTTTTCGGTTCAGATTCGGTTGGATCGGTTATGGTCAAATTCAAGTTTGAATGCTAATAAAAGTATTCATGAAAAGTTTAATATTGAAATACATTAAATTTTAAAATTTTTAAAAAGACATTAAATTTAAGGTATTAAAAAAATAATTATGACTGAAAGACCCTTAAAAAGCTAAACAGAGTAAATTTCAACTAATAACATAGGCAGTACAAAGAAAATAACATAGGGGTGACTCACGAGATTTTTCCACAATAAAAATGAAACACAAAGAAATGCAATAAATTTTAATATATTCAAAACTTGTGTATTTAAAATATACAGAATTTAGGAATTTAGGGTTTTTAAAAACTTATCATAATCTTTCTTTAAAAAAACTTATTGAAAGTCGGGTACAGGTCGGGTCGAGTACGGGTCAAGTCGGTCAAATATACTAACCCAAACCCGACCCGACAAATGTCGAGTTCAGTATAAATTTTTTTGGGTCAGTTTCGGATATGTAATTTTTCGGTTTGGATTCGAATATTATAAGCTCAAGTCGGGTCGGTAAAAGTCAGATTTTGGAAAAATTGCCATCCCTAAAGCCAAGTAGGAGGACAGTTACCTGATAGAAGATAATTAAAGTATAGTCAAAGATTTCTTCATCATCTTTTGTAATCGTATCAGTTTTATAACTTTTAAAAGTTAGGGACTCTTCATTGGAACCGTTATTGTTTGAATACTAATAAGGTTGGGTTGAGGGTTGCCTCCCCACAAATTATATTGACATGTTTTCTAGTAAAAAGCTCTCTACGCCTACTTTTAGAAAGAACATTTTTTTTTCTTAAGTGCTTCTCCCGAATAAGTATAATGATTCGTTTCAAATGAGTTTCATTATGTCCAACCAACAGTCGCAAAGACCGGGTGATAAATGGTGGAGTCTGCATAACTCCGATCTTCTAGCGTAGTGACAAGGAAACCACCCCAAGCTATACTCTCATTTTTCGATATTCAGTAAATTGGTTGTAGACTTGTAGTTACTTTTACTACAACTCCAGTCATTTGACGTAGTGACAAGAAAAAAACCTCAAACATCTCCACATTTAAGTGTTGGAGCCTCATATACTACACCCATGGGTATAGGACCTACTAAAATAATGGGATACAAACAATAGTTTGTGGTTAACCAAAATCATATTGGTCCAGTTTTGATATTTTGTGGTTAACCAAAATCATATAAAAGAATAGTTTGATGATACTCCATATTTTAATAAATGAATCTAATAAAATTATTTTTATATCAATATCTTGAATCAATTTTATTTAAGTTATGATCAATTCTGACTAGAAAATTCTAAAATTAGACAAACACTCTATGACTAAGGTGGTAATATGGAGTTTTCTGTTATAACTAGTCTCAGGCATTCTAATTTTAATGACATTTTGTAAATATGGGGTATAATTTATTTATTTTAATTTTTGAAAAGGGATATAATGAGTTTTAACTATAAAATATGTGCTATGAAATAAAAGTTTTAGTTTCGACATAGATGTGCATGTATTAAAATTTAGAGTAAATTGATACGAACAAGTACCGCAAGGGAGAGCTTCGAGTGTCTCCAAACTCCTAGAAGAGAGGAACGAAGGTGAGAAAGGAAGAGAGAGAGAGAGAGAGATCGTGCGGCAGAACCACACGCCACAGAGAGAGAATTAGGGTTTTGGGTATTTTCTTTCTTATTGATGAAGAGGAGTAATATCCCTATTTATAGTAGAGACCTCCAACCTAAAAGCGACGAGGTAAAGAACCGTAAAGAAACCCTCGAAGGAGTTTATCATTCGCTCACCTAGGAAAATACTAAAATACAATAATTAAAGTATTGAAACATCAAAATTAAATAACTCAATTGTCTAAACATAATCCTTCTGCCAACGTGGACTACGTCTCGGCCTTGTACTTCGACGTGCATGGGCTTCCTGTGCCTCCAGGCCCACATGCATCTCCCGTTCCCCTTCTGACAAGCTGCCCACTTCCGCGTTGCTTTCCTCTCCCGAACTTCCCACGTTGTCGTTGTTATTCTCTGTTTCCATGCCGACTTCATTCGTGTTCGTGTCCCTATCATTCCCCCCGTCTTCAACAAGCACCTTGTCCGCAAGGTGCAAACGAGGAAAATGTTTGCGCATAAATGCCAGGGGCTCCCACGTAGCATCGTTTGGTCCACCTTCTGACCATTCCACCAGGACCTGTTCTGTCAATATATTACCCACCAAAACCGTGCGGCGACCGAGTAACCAGACAGGGACCGAGGGCACTTGGTCGTCCTTTAACTCCTTCGGCAGTGGATGGCATGGCTGGGCAGTAGGATCCCCCCGGAAGGGTCGCAACAATTATACATGAAACACTGGGTGCACTCGTGAATCAGCAGGAAACTTCAAACGGTAAGCCACCTGCCCGACCCGTTCTTCAATCTGGAAAGGACCATAAAAACGCCGTGATAGTTTCTGATTGGAACGTCGCGCTACCGTCTGTTGGCGGTATGGCTGGAGTTTCAACAACACCCACGCCCCTGGATCGAATTGCAGCTCCCGTCGATGTTGATTGGTGATGTCACGCATGCGTGCATATGCCTTGGCCAAGTGCTCGCGTAGTCGATGAAGAAGGGATGTCCGTTCTTGTAATAACGCATCCACCTCTGGAAAGGGACACTCGCCTTCTCGGTATGGTAATAGGTTCGTGGGCTCCCGACCATACAACGCCTGAAAGGGAGTCATCTTTAAAGCCGAGTGGTAGCTTGTATCCAGGGCAGCAACACTATCCAGCGATTGGGTTTATCCATGGAGAAGGCTCGCAGATATTGTTCAATCCCCCGATTCATAACTTCCGTCTGTCCGTCAGTTTGGGGATGGAATGTTGTACTCATGTGCAGCGTTGTGCCGCTCAATTTGAGAACCTGACTCCAAAATTTACTCAAAAAGACTCGATCCCGGTCAGACACCAACGTCCTTGGGAAGCCATGCAACTTCACCACAATATCCACAAAGAGATGGGCGACCCGATGAGCATCGAAGTCCACCGGCAGTGGTCCCAAATGAATGTATTTAGAAAGACGATCCACGACCACCAAGAGGACCGTGAAGCCACGAGACGGCGGGAGCCCAGTGATAAAGTCCAAGGAAGCATCGTCCCAAACTTGCAGGGGGATAGTTAAGGGCTGGAGGAGCCCCGCCGGCGGTTGCGTAGAGTACTTCGTCGATTGGCACGTGAGACACCCGCGCACGTGACGATGGACGTCGGCTCGCATATTCTTCCAATAAAAAATCATGGCTAACCGGTGCATGGTCCGCGTCACCCCGGGGTGACCAGCAAAGGGCGTGTCGTGATACTCGCGGAGTAGTAGCCTCCGTAATTCGGACTTTTCCCCAATGCAGAGCCGCCTTTTGTAATACAACAGTCTATCCTCCACCAAAAATTGGGGCGGCAATTTGCCCTGGCGGGGAGCCTCATGTAAGATCCGGAGGTCCGCTTGAGTTGAATTCTCACGTCGTATGTCGGCCATTAGTGCGGGTACCACCCGAGACAGATTCATCAAACTTGCAGCATCTACGGCGTCCTCATCCCGGCGAGACAAAGCATCCACCACCTGATTTGACGCCCCCGTTTTGTATTCAATTTTGAAACGAAAACCAAGCAGCTTACGCACATAGTATTGTTGGTCAGGTGTTTGAATAACTTGGTGTAGGGGATCTGTGAGGCTCCGTTGATCCGTGCGTATCAAAAATTCCCTCCCGAGTAAGTATTGTCTCCACTTTTGGATGGCTTCCACAATAGCAAACATTTCCTTATGGTAAGTTGAAGCCGAAAGTTTCCGCGGACCCAATTTCTTGCTAAAGTAAGTGACGGGCTGCTCATTCTGAAGCAAAACAGCCCCAATACCGAAAGCACACGCGTCTGTTTCGACCACAAATAAAAGCTGAAAGTCCGGTAGCTGTAAGACCAGGGCTGAGACCATTGCCTGCTTAAGGGCATTGAAGGCGGCTGTGGCTGTGGGGGTCCAGCCGAAGGCATCCTTTCGAAGCAAGTCTGTCAAAGGGGGCGGCCAGATGGGAGTATTGACGAACAAACCGGCGGTAGTAACCGGTCAGGCCCAAAAAACCCCGGAGTTGCTTTGCGGT